TACTCAATAGTATGAACTCATGGAACTTCCTCTGTTTAATATTCCTGGTGCAAGCAGAACTTTCTCTCAGTCAAAATGGGTAATAGTTTGATCTGCTTTATATAAAACCACTACTAGTTTACATCTCTGCCAATGTGTATCAGCCAGTTTCTACTATAACAGTCAACTGAATAAGTTGGGAGCAATTGATAAGTTTTTGCACATAGTTAAATGTAGAGCACTTATAAAATTTTCCATTGGCATTAAGTGACTAACCCTGTTTGTGTAGATACAGTATAATATATCTGTATATGTGTGCATGTTTTATATAGGTATATTGATATATACACATAAGAATTTGTAAATATCATTACATCAAACAATTTATGAAAAATATGGTAAAATTCACAGATATGAACTCAATATGCAAAACTAAGAAGCAGTTCTATATGCTTTCCTATTTAAGAAAGATCAATAAATCCATTTAAATAGTATTAATAGCATAAAAAGCATCAACAAAAATAAAGGACTTAGAAGTAAATTTAATGCAGGTTTTAATGTCTCTAAAAACTGAAAATTATACAACATTGAAGAAAGATATTGAGAATGTGGTGATAAAAGGGAAGATAAACTGTATTCATGGCTCTAAAGAATCAGTAATGTCAGCGGTTCACTGTGGCAAAAAGGCTCAGATCTGAGATGTGCTTCTGATCCAAACTAAAATGCCACATTTTTTCAGTCAAAGAGAAAAGCTCCAAACCCAGAAGAGTCAAATCAGAGGACCTTAAATATCTAAAGGCACCTTGAACAATATGTAATCACACCAGTATCTCAGGTTCATAACTGGAGGCATTAAGACACCAGGTTTCAAAAACTGTTACAAAGCTAGAATCACAAAACAATAGTATACACTGGCATAAAAACAGCCCCATAAGGAATGCAATAGGCAGAGAACCTGTAAACCCACAGACTGGACATCAATCAACCTTCGCCAAAATGCATGAAAAACAGAGTGGAGAAAGCATCACTGGCAAACCTTCAGAAAAAAAATCACTAAGTAGCCACATACAAAAGGGAAAATGGGATTAAGTCCAAACACAGCATTCAATCTTTGAAAATACTATGTGAAAACATAAAGGAAAAACTCCTTGACATTGGTCTAAACAATGACTTTTTGGACAACACTAAAACACTACAAGCTATAAAAACACACAAATGAAATATCATCAGACTGCCAGCTTCTCCACTACAAATTAGACAACTCTCAGAATACAGAAGTAACCTGTAGAATAGAAGCAACAACTCCATTGCAAGTTAGACAACTCTTAGACCACAGAAGTAACTTGTAGAATAGAAGAAACGGTTTGCAAACCATGCATCTGTTAGCTGTTAAACTTTTAAAAACTGAGTTTGAATTACACAACAGAAAGAAATTCTATAGCTTGATTTAAAAGTGGTCAAAAGAGTGTATGGGCCAGAGGAGATGGAGAAAACCATGGAAGCAAAGTCTTGTAAACACGGCAGACTGACACTTACAAATTCACACAGTCTGTGACAGCATGTACACATCAGACCTGCACAGGTCTTCACCAGTCGGAGTCCTGGCACAGGAAAGAGAAATGCCCCCACCACTAACCCAGAAGCTATCTCCACTTGCAAATGAAGACTTAGTTTTTTCCAAGGGAGTCTAACTGGAGAAACTCATCCTTAAGTGTAGGCCCCATGCCCAGTAGCAGAGGGCCAAAGCAAAACGAATTCAATGGAATCTTTAGACATCTTTGTCTCATGATATTGTGTTAGGGATCTATTTTCAACAACAACAAAAAAAATGAATAAAAGGAGCTAGAAAGTTGGCTCGTTTGGTAACATGATTGATTGATGCACTGAAATGGGGTCCTGAATTTAGAACTCTAATACCCATATGAAAAAAGCAGATCATGACAGAGCATACCTGCAAATCCAACACTTGGAAATGGAGACAGACAGATCTTGAGAGAATTGACTGAGAACGATATCCCAGTCTCAACCTATAGTCTCTGTACATGTCTATACAACAAGTACGTTTGCAAACCACACACACACACACACACACACACACACACACACACACACACACCACAGATACACTACATACACCATATACACATACATACCGTACACCCAAACTCACATGCATATACACATGCTAAGAGCACACATACACATACACACAAACGAGAGAGAGAGAGGTGCACAATCAGTGAACTAAATATCTGAATAGACATTTATCAAAGAAGACAAATTGCCAAAGGGTACTCGAAAACCATTCATTATTAACCATTAAGAAAATGCAATTCAAAACCACAATGATATATCGCCTTATACCATTAGACTGGTCATCTTAAAAGCTACAAATGGCAAGCATCATGAAGATATAAAAGACAGAGAAACTTGAGCTCCAGCTGCTAAGAATGTACCTGATTGAGTCATTATCAAAACAATATGCAAGCTCCTCAAATACTAAAATCCCAACTACCATACAGTCTGGCAATCATGCCCCTAAGTATAAAGAAAGAAAACACAATAGTCAAAGTATGCAAGCAGGCAAAAGAATAATAAGTAGCTGAATGGGTAAACACTAGGCAGCCTTCAAAGGGCCTTTAAAGAGAAGGAAATCTTTGCATTTTCCATAGCATAGGTAAACACTGAGGACATCCTACATGAAAACTAAGCCATATGCAAAAAGGTATGTGCTTTGCAATCTGTCTTCTATGTGATCTGTCTATCCTAAAAACAGGTTAGAATGGTGGTTCCCAGTGGCTTGGAGGTGGAAATATGTGGCCAGATGGTGGGGGCCAAAGGGTGGGGGATTGCCCTAGAAACCTAATATGCATTACAGGTATTACAGTTAATAGTGTTGTGTTGTATACCTAAACTGTCACCACAATAAGAGGAAAAGTCACATAAGGTGTTGACTGTTGGTTATCTTGATTGCTTCAATCATTTCAGGATGCATGTGCACTTACTAAAACATTGTGCTATATTCCACAAATATAGTTTTTTTAGTTGGTTGTACCTAATTAAAGTTGGAGCAAATCTCACCTTAGGCATCTGAAACCGTATCTCTCCATTGATAATAAAAATGGGTAGAATACAAAAGAGATGAATTTAGGAATAAACAAGATAAAGATAAAGAAATGAACTATTATATCTTGGTTCTAAAAAAGGAAACACAAACAAGACGAAAGGAAATGAGGAAGAAAGTGTGCCTGTTCTCTCATCTTCTAGGGAGTAATGAGAAAGCATGCTGAATGAGACAAACACTGTCAGAAAGCATGCTGGGTAAATCCAAGGTCAGTCAACCTCTCTTTCCCGGTGTTTCTGGTCCTGGGGATCATGGCCACCAAGAGAATGGTAGTGTGGTTAATCCACTTCTACGAGCCTGCTGTCTATGAGCCACACTGGTCAAATCCCTGTTCTTCCAAGTTTTTTGAACACTGTACACAATCATTATTTCTTTAAAAATAGATCAAATGGGGCCACTGACAAGCAGCTAACACATCAATAAGTGCTTGTTTCTCTTCACCAAGTTCATTTTGATTAGAATCAGAAAGATGAAATGAAATATTTCAAATTTCATTAGGAATACATTTGATAATTTTAGTTAAACTATGGGTATGTTTAGCATCAAGAAACATGGCCACAATTATTGGCAATTACTTGATTATTCCTGAGTTATTAGAGATATTGAGAACTTCATTGCTAAATTGGGCTTTATCAGCTTTCTGATAAAGTAGTGGAATTCCCCCATTACATATGAAAGGGTCTTAAACACTGAACAGAAGCTTATCATACCTTGCAAATGACCCATTTTAAGCCCAGACCCATTGTGTTTGATTTCAATTTCGTATTCCAATTTCTGTTTATGGCTTCACTTTTATACTAGAATATCTTAAGAACCCACAATACCCATAACAGAAATATCTGCAAATGTTTCATTTTATAACATAGGTAGATTTCTGCTTTAGAATATTAAAATAAGGATTGACATTTTTAAAGGTAGAAAGCATGCCCAAGCTGATGTAAAGTGTTTTTAATGAACCATTTGTGATTTATATTGCATATTTTAAATGCAAGCAAAGTGGGAAATAAATTAGACATGCTTCCCAGCCTTCCTTATCCAAAGCAACAAATTCTTCCACTAACTTTAGTATTGCATAATTCATTCTATAAATCAGAGAACGCTGAATATTGGACATTGCTAGGGAAGTGATAGTTCAGATAGTTGAGTGCCAGAGTCATCCAGGTAAATCCAACAGGCTGCAGGAACTTCATATTCTTTTCCCTTTTATGAATTCCACATTCCTCATTGTAAAATCATGAAATAGTTTTAAACTGTTGATTGCCTTCCTTTTACCTTTGTCCTTTGGTACATGTACATGATCATGTATTTTTCTGGTAAGAGACTCCATTTTTATACCTACCTAGAACATGTCACTAGAGCCCCATGTTTATCCAGAAGACAATTTAAAATTTTGGAAATGTAAGTATCACCACATGAAACCATGATCTGTGTTTGGTATGCACTTTAAGTCTCTTAGTTTACAAAAGCACATATTTGGTAAGGAGTTGATATCTGATATGCAAATGTCATTTAATAAGAGATTGTATCATTACAAAGATATCAAATAAGAGATCTTCTTTCAGGAAATTTAAGAACTAGGCAAAGAAACAAATTGCTCTTTCTACAAAGAGGAATCCCAGACCCATCATTCATATGAAAGCAGCCATTCTTTCTGAAATGTCACCAATTCTTTAGCACTTACTATATTGTTCACTTCTGTAGTTTTCTTCCAGAAATTAAAACAATCAGGGATATTGTACAGCATGCATGACATTTCCCAGGGTTAATAGTGTGTCAAAATAAGAGCCCCGTAAAAGGGCAGTCACTCCTCACAGTGCACACCCAATGGCTGCTTTCTGATACATGTGAAGACTCATGGCGTACTGGGTTTATCATTGCACAAATCAGGCAGCCTTACCTTGCCCAGCTGATCCTTCTTGACGAAGCCAGTGGCAGCAGCAATGGTCCCCGCTCCCTCCACTGTCTTCTGGGCAACTGCTGTCACACCAGTCACCACTGCCCCTCCAACATTTGTCACTTGCTCTTTGGTCTTCTCAGCCACTTAAGAAAATCAAGAGCAACAACACATTAAAAGGTGGTGGTGTGGCAGACTTTAATTCTACTTCCAGCAGCTGCCAGCTTCTACAGGCACGTATGCCACAGGCAGCAAGAGTCTGCGGAAACAAGACACCAAGGGAGGAGCAACATGCTTCAGCCAAACACTGGGTCTGAGTTATAATTATGCATAGATTTGAAAACCGTGAGAGTTTAGTTATGACACAATGCAAGCAAGATTTGGTTTGCAGTGAGGCAAGTAGACAGAAAACGATGCACTAGGTAGTGTCAAGCTGTCAGAGCATTTGAGCACTATTTCAGTTTCAATGCCAACACTTTGATCTCATTTACCAAGCTCACTTCCATTACCCCTTCTAAGTAAATGCTTCCCACACAACTAGTATCACTATTTTCTATGTGCAAAATACAAAATGTTCCTAAATCCTTAATGTTCAAGTGCCACTAATTCGATACTAGCAGAAAATTTCATAGCATGAACTTTGTTGCATGCCCATAATTATTCTAAAATAGAGTGTGAAATTGCCTTTAGACAATATGTACAGGTATATGTGATAGAAGTGAACATCATGTTTAGACTTGGGTCCCATTGCCAAGATGTCTCATTATAGGTGTGCACTTATCCCCAAATCAAAGATAATTGAAATCTAAAGTAAGTCTTGCCTTAACTACCTCCAATAAAGAAGTGTGCAGGGCTCATACATGCTCCTCGAATGTTTTGAAAATAGGTGATACAAGAGAACATGGTAGAGGAAAAGGATAGTTCTTTTACAAGACTATTTTTTTAGTTTTGTGTACTTGTGCCTCGTGGAGCATGTGTGCAGGTCCAGAAGGATGACCGATGGTGATGTCAGATCCCCTGGGGCCAGAATGATAGGATAAAGGCCTCCCAGCATGGGTGCTGAGAACACATTTCTAGTCCTGTGGAAGACTAGCAAGTGCTCTTCACACTGGACATCCCTCCAGCCAAACAAAAATGTGTTAAGACAAAATTTCAGTTAATGCAGATGTGTTTCCATTAATTTCATAGTTCCATGCAAGGAGTGAAAGACATGAGATCCTACTTTTTAAATAATTCTAAGTTAAACAAACAACCACATTTCAGTGTTAGATTGTTTGAGTTCCTACTCCCCCTGTGTTTTCGCTCCTGAGCAAATTTAAAGCATGTGTTTGTTCAGGATCTCCTAAGCCTATATCCTCATACCCTGAGTGGAAGAATCACACCACACCATCTCTTCACAGGGCTACTGCACTGTACAGATTTCATGTCATCAGCCAGAAAGACAAATAATCCAATAATGTAGGCAATGAAAATTAATTTGGAAGGAACAAGTTATGTAAATGAAGTTAAAGTTAAATTCTCCTGTAAAGTCATGGGGCTTACCCCTTAGACCAAGCAAAGGGGGGGGGGGCCTGAAGGTCATGCAGATTTCAACCAGAATCCACACAAGTGACTCTATAGCTGCCTTTCAGTTTTGAGCTAAGCCTTCCTATGGAATCTCTGCCCCTCAGTATGCTTCCTGAAGAGCACTGGATATTCACAGTATTTTTAAAGGCCAGGGAAGAGATATATTAGAAATTTTGATTTTAAACATCACTAGAATTATACTGAATTCTGTTTCTGGTTGTTACTTTTTCTTCCAAGAATATGATTAAAATTTTGCTGGAGATTAACATTTTCTTGTTAAAACATCTCAAAGCAAGGCAAAATAGGCTTTGCATTTTCATATACTTATGTTTTCTGCCAGCCATAAACTTAACTTTATGTGTATACTCCTTTATATAAATATAAAGTTTACTCTGTTGGTTTTAAAACACAAAAATTATATAGTAAGTGTAATTAATACATTATTTCCATTTTACTGTTTTATCATAATAATAAATAAAGAACATTATAAAATTATAGCATGTGGTAGTATAATAGATATGGTTAAGAAAAAAATATAAACATCTGTAGGAATATATTTTGCCTTTAAGGTCTACAGTTTATCTACTCATTGACACTGCCTTAAAAAAACAAAGGAGACAAACTTTTCAGTGCTTTCTTCATTTAATAAATGACTTCTAATTTTGTGACTAAAGACCTTATAATCAGAATCAAATGGGTATTTACCTACTTTCTTAGTTATTGTTTCTACTGCTGTGATGAAACGCTATGACCATAAAGCAAGTTGGGGAAGAAAGGGTTTATTCAGATTATACTTCCACATTGGTGTTCATCACCGAAGGAAATCAGGACAGGAACTCAAGCAGGGTAGGATCCTGGAAGCAGGAGTTGCTTACTGGCTTGCTTCCCCTGACTTCTTCAGCCTGCTTTTTTCTAGAACCCAGGACCACCGGCCCAGGGATAGCACCATCCACAATGGGTTGGGCTTTCCCCCATGGATCACTAACTGAGAAAATGCCTTACAGCTGGATCTCATGGAGTCATTTCCTCAACTAAGCACCTTCCTCTAGCTTTGTGCCAAGTTGACACATTAAACCAGCCAGTGTACCTCCCAATCAAAAGATACAGTATAATTCAAATTAACCGGTGTTTATCCCAAGGTGTCAGTCTTGCCCATTCAGAAAGTAGACTTCCATCCAATCAAAAGCCTTTCTCCATTCCCGTCTATGCAGCTGACTCAGTTTCCTTGTTATAATCTACTCATAAAATCTCATGCTCTACATCCTATTCTTCAGGAGGACACTAAACATTCCCAAACTTGTCAACAGAGAGCATTGCAGCCGGACCCCAAAGAAGACTCTGCTACCTGTACGGTAAATATGGCTTTTTCCCACAAACACTGGAACTCCATTACTCTAGGGTGGGCCTCTTCATGACACTCACCACCTGTCTAATCTCTGTGTGTTATTACACTCATGCTTAAATGTGCCTTTTCTTCAGTCTCCAGAAACCAAGCAGTCTACTTATTTGTCTCACTGTCTGCACTTCCTGTGGACCAACAGCAAAGAGAAGGTGTCAGCCAGCACTGTGAGCTTTTGACCCTGTGACCCTGTGTTCCTGGGATTCAGTTTTCCTGTTTTCATTATCAGAACCTTGTGCTAAAAGGGATGAAGCTCTTTTCTTCCCTGGATGACAAAAATTGCTCAGGAAAAAGCCACTGGAAGACACAAGTTGCCCCTGTGTAATGCAATGTATTTGCTTTCAGTTTTCAAGTTCTTTTGTAAACGAGAACATTAAAGCAAGGGAAAGATAGGACTCTAGCCGAAAATCACAAAGCAATAATAATAATAATAATAATAATAATAATAATAATAATAATAATAATAATAATAAACCAAAAAAAAAAAAAAAACCCAAAAGTCTGAATCAAGGCCTGAGTCTGGCATTTACCATACTGAAGTAAGGCAACATTTTCCCTGTTTCTATTTTATAGGTTGTTGATGGGAACTTGATACGTTGCATGGTTTAATAATGGCCAAGACTTCCTGAACTTACATTCCTGACAGGTCTCTTCCCACCATCTTCCCACCATCATTACAGCATCTTCGTCATTTTTATTCTTTATTGTAAGTCTTATTTTAGACTAAATTCTTTCTGCCATTATACAAAATTCCCATAAATGCAATAAAAATTATATTTTTAAATAGCATACTAATAAGGATATTTTCTAAAAAGAACTCTTATCACAGAGTAACTGGTATAATAAGTATAAGTTGTGGTCCAAATACCAAACACTAGAGAAATTTGAAGAGTCGGGCAGTAGTGGCATACACCTTTAATCCTAGCACTTGGGAATCAGAGGCAGTTGGATCTCTGTGAGTTTGAGGGCAGCCTGGTCTATAGAGTGAGTTCTAGGACAACCAGAACTATTACATAGAGAAATACTGTCTTGAAAAAAAAATTGAAGAAACAATAGCATTATTGTATTTTATTTATTTAGCTATTTGTTTTTGGTTTTGTTTTGTTTTGTTTTTAGACAAATACCCAAGTACCAAGCTATTAGGATTAAATATAGCTGGTAAATTTAAACCATCATTCTTGGCCATAAGAGAATTTGGGCTGTAAAATTTTAATTCACACTTTTTCTATTTAAAAATACTTCATAAACAATAAGGTTTAAATAAGGACAATATGCAAGGCACATGGGCACATGCCTGTAATCCCAATACTTAGAATGTTGAAGCAGAATTCAGTCTGGCCTACATAGCAAGATTTAGTCTCAACAAATCAAAAGAAGTCAAAAATAGATACATGAATAATAAACTGACCAATGTTAATTTGTAGACAGTGGTTTTTACAGTTTGTACCATAAGCATAAGGTGAAGTTGGCCTAGAAGGCAATTTTGGATATTACCCCTAGATAAAAGCCAATGAAGCTTACCTGTAGTCACTCCATGAACCACTCCCTCCTTAGTTTTGGAACCTAAAAACAAAGAAATTGAATGTGTAAGTCTTAATCTGTCCTTGGATTTCCAGTGAGCCAATTAAAACGTCAATATTTGGAAGTTCATGTACAAAGATAACCTTAAAAGACAAGCAAAGCCAAACACACACAAACCCCACTAAACTGAGGAGATTCCACCACCAGAACAGAAAGCTAGCCTAGGCCTCTCTGGGTGAGTTCAGGAGGGAAGGTTGGAGAGCTTAATTAATGGGCAATGAGCTGTGTCAGTCAGCCCTGTAACACTCTGTGCTTTCCAGTGGGGTGATCATAGAGAGAAACTGGGCACTTGTAACAGAAAAGCTACAAGAGAGTTTAACGGTGCTTGTCATAAAGATCTGACAAGTATTTTGCTTTGTTTTTTATTTGGTTTTTTGTTTGTTTGTTTGTTTGTTTTGTTTTGTTTTCCCAGAATAGCACCAGCTGTCCTGGAACTTCTTTGTAGAGTAGGCTGGCCTTGAACTCAGAGATCTGCTTGCTTCTCCCTCCCTAGCGCTGGGATTAAAGGTGTTTGCCACCTTGGCCAGCAAGATATGACCAGTATTTAAGGTGACAGAGATGTGTTAATTTAACCACACACGGTAAATATGTATGGAAACATTACAAGAGGCCTCCCTGATAGGTAAACATTTTGTGCCATTGTGTATCAGATAAAGATAAGCTTGATTTTCAAAAAAAATAAACAAAGAATGTTTTTTTCACAAAGCCTAATGACTTTTTAATCTAATCCATGTTTGATACCTCATATGTCAACTTACAAAAGGGGAAAGGTGATATAACCTGGGGCCTGGGAAGACTCTGTGCAGACCTGTACATGCTATAAAAGCACAGCAGAAGCAGACAACCACAGCTAAACACTAGCCCAACTCCTGGAATCCAGTTACAGAGAGGGAGCAGTGGTGAGCAAAGGAGTCAAGACCAGGCTGGAGAAACCCACAGACACCGCTGACCTGAACAAGGGGGAGCTCATGAGCCCCAGTCTGATAAATGGGGAACCAGCTTAGGACTGACCCAGACCCCCTGAATGTGGGTGTCAGTTAGGAGGACTGGGCAGCCTATGGGGCCTCTGGTAGTAGATCAGTATTTATCCCTAATATAGGAATGGAGTTTTGGAGCCCATCCCACATAGAGGGACACTCCCTCAGCCTAGACATATGGGGAAGGGCCTAAACCCTGCTCCATGTGATATGGCAGACTTTGAAGACTCCCCATGGAAGGCCTCGCCCTCCCTGGGGAGCAGAAAAGGGATGGGCTGGAGTGGTAGGGGAGAATGGGAGGGTGAGGGAACGGGATTGACAGTGTAAAACAACCTTGTTTCAAATTTAAAGAAAGAAAAACAAAAGCACAGCAGAATAGAAACTGGCCGAGCCACACAAGCAAGCAGAAGGAATCGGAAGGTCCAGTGTCTGCCCAAACTCTGGTCCAGGTTCACCTCTCCTAATTTCTGAAGTAGCCACTCACTGTCCATTTCATACATAAGGAGATTAATAACCACAATTAAGTGGCTTTTCTAATATTAATTAACATCATGTTTTGGGCACAATCGTATGATGTCTGTATGCAAGATAAGAATGCCACCTGTGCCTTGGCCATTACTAAATAAATAATTATTGCACATATTGCTAAAGTAAGTTTGTAAAGCATTTAATAATAAATTCTCTGATGCTGAGGGCTTTTTTTTTTTTTCAGTATAATTCACACCTTTCAGATTACATGGTGTTTGGAGATTTGAGTTTCCTTTCAATAATTCTGTTTTTGATATATACCAGAGTCTCTTCTTCTATTCATCCATTGATGCGTAACTGGGTAATTCCATAATGTGCTGGGGTTGAGTAGTCAAATGGGCATGAGTATGCAGTATATCAGTTTATCATGCTGACTCTGATATTTACACAGAAATGGCATGGCTAGAAATTCTATTTATATTTTTTTTGAGAATTCTCCCTGCACCGAGTTTAATAATTGAGTTTCACTCAGTCATAATGAAGAATGAAATGATGGGTCATTATGTTAAGTGAAATGAGCCAGCTCACAAAGATGAACATGGCATCGGTTTTTCTCTCATAAGTGGAATATTTTGAAAGAAGGACACAAAAGTAATAGGGCAGTACTGGGGACATGGAGAGGAAGAGGAGGGAGAGAAGAATAATAGAGGGGTCATGATCAAAGTGAATATGAGCATCGTGAATGATCATATTATACATACATTAAAGTGTCTTAATGGAACAGCACCATGTAAAATAAGTATACACAATGAAAATAAAACAGCAGTAAAAATCAAAGGAATATGAAAAGGATTGTCTCTACAAACAAAAAACTGTGCAATAAGAACAGTATATGTAATTCCTGTATAATAAATACATAAGTGGGAGAATATTAAGACCCCTCATTTTGTGCAATTAATATCCTCAATTTTATATACACACATACACACATGCACACACACACACACACACACACACACACACACAATACAAGTTTTAAGTGGAAGTTATCCTATAGGGCTGAAGACATAGTTCTTGGTACAGTGATATATTCAGGCATCCAACACCCTGGATTTGATCCCCAATATTAATAAGAAAACAAAGAGGAAAGAATTAAGGAAGGGAAGAAAGGAACATTAACTAACATAACCTATCTAGACACAGAAGAAAATGAAGAATAAAAGAAAATAAGGATATGTAAACTGAAAAAGATTTAAGTCTGTGTTTGGGAAGAAATTTAACAATTTGTATTTTAAAAACTCACTATTCAGAAAAAAATTCTTGCTAAGTGTACAGGAAATAAGTAGAAAACAATAGAGCAAAACTATATTGTGGTAGAATATTATTTTAAGGTGTCTTACTTTTGCCTATGCTGTATTTGTTTAACTATGTGAACCTGTGATTCTTTGCCTATCTAGAACATCTGATGTTCCTAATAAAGAGCCGAAGAGCCAATAGCAAGGCAGGAGCAAGGATAGACGGGGTGGCAGGCAGAGAGTATCAATGGGAGAAACAAGGAAGGAGAGAGGACATCAGGGGCCAGCCACCCAGACAAGCACAGAGTAAGAAGGAAAGCAACATACACAGAGGTAAGAGAGATAAAAGCCCAGAGGGAAATGGTAGATGAGTTAACTTAGGATAGGAAACACTGGCAAGAAGCAAGCCAAGCTTAGGGCAGGCATTCATAAGTAATAGTAAGACTTTGTGTGGAACTTATTTGGGAGCTGGGTGGTGGGCCCCTCAAAACTCCAAAAGAGCAAAACATCACACCTTACTGTATCATATACATAGCTTCCTAGAGGCCAAGTGCACAGTAAATACAAAGTACAATATTGACATTTGTAATGAACTTTGTGATTCATTGTACGTAATTAAGTCACAAACCAAATTCTGCTTTGCGATTAACACTATGACCAAATGCAACATGTGGAAAAGAGGGTTTATCTCTCAGCTTGCAGTTTAGAAGTGTATCATCTAGGGGAACCAAAGTGGATACTCAAGCGTGGCAGGAACCTAGAGGCAGGAACTGATGCAGAGGCCTTGGGGGAACACTGCTTACTGGCTTGCTCAGCCTGATTTCTTATAGAACCCAGGACCACCTGCCCCCAGGTGGCACTACTCACAATGGCCTGGCCCTCCTGTATGAGTTAGCAATCAAGAAAACACCCTCACAGACATTCCCATAGATCAATCTAATGGAGGCAATTACTCACGTGATATTTCCTCTTTCCAAGTGTCTCTATTTCTTGTCATATATGACGTGATTTTTTTAATTCCAAAATTAGATGAGCCTTTCTAAAATCTGTATAATATCATCAACAAGATGATCTAAGTACATGTGCAGAAGTATATTAAAGCGTTTGGAAATATTTTTTGGACTTATATAAGCATAGCCTTAAGTGAAATTTGAATATATTATACTTAATATTTTTAAAAAGGAGTCCATTCAACTCCCTACTTTAAAAAAGAGAGAGAGAAACCATATGTAGGAACTTTTATTTTGAAAATAAAGAGTCCAGGTCTCAACTTCAACTTCACTAAAGCATAACCAAGTCTGCATCATTATCTTAGTAAAAGGACCAGAGGAAATAGTTCAAGTAAGGCCGGCAACACTGTATCTGATGCATGATGCAGACTTGGTGAGAGCTCTCACCCCTACACACACACACTTCTGAAGGAATAGCTGGGGCTGAAGGCACACGACAGATCACCACACTAGAAGCAGCACAGGGTGGAGGGCACACTGGCAGGCATGGATGCACATACTGCAGTGTTTTACGTGGGTGCTCTGTGTGTACAGTTCACAGGCACTGCTCATTCTGCAAGGTACTCTAGAGCTGGTACAACCTGATAATGAATGGGTTAACTGCGCAAGCAGGAGATGTCTCATGGCTATTATTCAAATTATCAAACATTCTAGTCATTTACAAGCATGTTGGGAAATGATAAAATATTAAAACCGATGCTTATCTTACATTTTGTGAATTAAATTATTTTCCCTAAAACAACGTATTAATCAGTTTCGACAGTGTGCCTTCTCATTGTATATGCCTTATGGGGTAGGTATCTTTTTCGTGTCTTAAAGAATTTTTGTGTGGATTAGAGTCCACAGTGGTGGCGGGAGAGCAGGGCAGCAGGAACAACTGAGGGATTGAACCTTGACCCAAAATCAGCAGACCAAAAGCACACTGAGTGATGGCTGGCTTTTGATGCTTCATAACCTGCCCCTATGACACATATCCAATAAGGGCCACAACTCATAATCCTCCCCAAACAGTGCCACTAGCTGAGACCGAGCTCACGAACATCTGGGTAGTATTCTCATTAAAACCACCACAACTCTTCATGTCATAATCTGTTGCTGATTATTCCTCTAGCAAGGGGTTGAGATGGCATTACTTCCTCGGAGGCAATGGCTCCTGATACATCGCATCTTCGGAGTATGTTACACATTCAACTCCAGGTCTTTAACTGCATGTATACTATCTAGGACTATAGTAAAGACCACATCTGCTCTACTCTGTGTCAAACTGACAAACACTAACCAGAATATGAGGTACCTGCTAATTCCAAAATTATTTGAAATTCAGTTGTACATTTCTACAATCTTAATAGCCAACTGCTTCTTCTATACAGTAATTACTTACACACAGCATTTTTCACGTTAGAGCCTTCATTTGCTTTCACCTCAGCTGGTCAGTTTTCCCTTTCTGGAATGCATTTCTGTAAAATATCATGTGGATTCATCTCCAGGATACAAGAGACAACACACCCACAGGTGTTACTGTTTGTGAGAATTGTGTAACAGATGGAAAGTGGCAACTCACCAACTAACTCCAAAAAAAAAAAAAAAGTGATTTAACTTAGTCACCAATTAAAACGGGCTTTGGTTATTTGTGTGATGGTTTTGAGGGTGAAGAGCTAGCAGCAAAGTTTGTACCTTCCATAATTGCTCTTAATTTATTCACTGCGGTAACAGTGATTTAAATATTTAAATTGTGTTGTTTTGGGATGGGTGCTATTGAAGTCACAACTGGAATTTGAATATTCTGAAGTAGTATGGCAGCTTGTGTAAGAGAGCAGAGCGTTCCTCTTGTGTATCCTTCACCTTCACTCCCTACAACCTTTCAGACCATGACTAATGGAATGAAATGTTCACCCCTGGCCCCTGCTCTGTCTTCTCTGCCTCAGCAGTAGTGAGAATCTGACATCCAATAAATCACAGAACCTTTTTAATGGGACTAATGGCAATCTTGATAAAGTTGCTGCATCTCAAAACAGTTCCTCCTCTTTTTTTTTCATGATTATCCGTTAAGTTATAAATGATAATTTAACTTCATTTTACATGTGAACTCTAAGTGATAGTACTTACCTAAAAAGCAGGGGTCAAGTAGCAAATAAGCAAGATATAAAAGCTGCTCTGAGCTGAGTTGCCCTGTGCCTTGTCTTGGTTTTGTGGGGGGATTTCACAAGGGTGCAGACTAGAAAGGGCTGTGAGAACCCTGCTATAGTATTGTTTCATATATTGACTCTCTAACCAAATATAATAAGACTCGCATCTGAGACTTAAGAGCTGGATGTGTGGCCACAGCTGCTCACCAAGCACTGAAAGAGAAGGTGATTTCCTTCAACTTCATACTGTAAAACTAACATTATGCGAAGAAAAAAATTTAGAGTTTAATATTGATCTGTAATTATATATCAGGCCATTGGCTCTTACATTCATGCAACTAAACTACGCTAATTGAAATCTTTCTGCAAATATTACAAAGAGAAACAGCACATTGAATACTGTGGCAGTTCTTCAATTACTTAAAAGGCAGTTGTCCAAAGCAGTTGTTATACGGGAATGAGATGAGGCTTCTGCCAAGCCTTTCAGCTGTAAGTAAAATTCAAAATTTTTCTTTAATTACTTTTAATATTGTTTAATCTTTTTATTTCCGGTACAGGGATGGAATCCAGTGCTGCTTCAGCACAGCCATCACGACTCTGAGCCAAAATTCTAGCCCAGATTATTTCTAATGCTTCAGGCTAATTATTGATAATAGTTTTATATATATTGGGTGCAAAATAAGAGGAAATCATGTTGAGTTGAACAATTACCTAATAAAACTCAAGTTTCCTAAATATGATAGTGCACTCGGTTACACATTTCCACAACAGTTCTCAAGGGAATTGCACTTTTATGAACTACATTATTTGTGGAAAGGGGAAGGAAGTTCAAAGACATTAAGCGACCTCCTCAAGATCCTAAAGGTGGAAGTAATATAGTTTGTATTAAGTTTATGTTCCTATGTTTGTTTGATAGGTTCATAGCCCAATTTCCTTTCACTTTTCTATAGCCTCTAAGTTAACTCCAGCTTATTTGTTTTGATAATTAAAAACTGAAACAGTGCCACACTGGTTATTTTCTATGGTTGCTTTCACACTTTAACAGTAGACCTGATTATCTGAGACAGATTTGCCAAAAATAAGTTTGAACGTTAACAAAAGTCGACCAAAATCTAAACTTAATTCTTACCTTTTCATACTAAATTCTGTGCATGTGTTCAGCTTTTAATTAGATTCCAGAACATAACTGGCAATTGATTAATTATACACATGTTAAATATAGTAACACTGATAATTTTAATAACGTTAAACGTATTAAAACATTAAGCAATTACATAATTGCCTCACAGTGAACAACAAAATTAATCTTTGAAAAATGCCATCATTTTATTTGCCCAAACTCACAATTAACAATAAAGCATATAAGTGTCCTGCTTGACAAGACCTGTTTATTATCCAAAAAGAGTAATAAATTAATACTCAGTAACTTCTAGTTTTGCTTAAAAGTAGTGTTGAGGCTGGGAGCTGATAACACACGCCTGTAATCCCAGCACACAGGAGGCACAGGCAGGTGGAGCTCTGTGAGTTCAAGGCCACAATAGTCTAAATAGTGAGTTTCAGGACAGCCAAAGCTACAAGAGAAACCCTATCTCAAAAGAGGGGGTGGGGGGGGGGAGAAGAAGAAAGGAAGGAAGAGAAAATTAGTTGTCTAAAAAGAAGAAAGATAACATTTATTAAGTAACTAATGTAAAAGATTTAGTCTTGGCTCTGTCATTGCAAGGATACTGGAGATTTTGAGGCCGCGCAAAATCTACAAATAACTGATTTTATATTCTGGATTCTATGGAAAACATTATACTTCACTGTTCACAAAAGAAGAACTTAAATCAAAAACGTTCTCTTATAGTATTCATTCCAAGACTTTTTGAAAGGTTGTTTCTAGGTAGAAAAAAAGTCAACATAAAAAGTAACCTGTGAAGAATGAGCAAAGGCGATCTTCTAGAAACTGGGATGAGAAGTCTTCATGAAAATGTTTCCAAGTGTAATTTTTCCCTCTGATCTGTTGGAGCATCAGCACAGCTCCCTCTGTGGATACTTCTCAGTGTGGCTTCTCTGTCATCTCTGCCACCTAGTCTGCTGCATTTCCATCTTAATGTTGACCCTGGGCCTTCTACTGAGAGAGAGGCTCCCAAAGAAGGTGGAAAAACTCAGAGAGGCAAAGAGGGGCATGTGAGTTGTGAATGTGTGCTCCCTTATGTACCTGCGTCTCTACTGGAGATGAATATGGGTGCATACATGTGTGTTTACTTCCATCCAAGTGTTGGAAGTTCAGTTGCAGCCAGTTTAATGCAGAGAAATGAGACTGTTGCCCTCTGTTTAATGGACCACACTAAAGCACAAAAGGCACTGAGTATCAACCTCTTTGATTTCCCTTTGTGTATCATGGGCAGGTGGCTACATACACACTTCTGAGGTTCCTTGAGCTTCATCTCTAAAAGGGCGATCTACTGAAGACAACTTGCTTTTCTTTTCTATGGGGGGGGGGGTGGGGTGGCAAGGTGGGTGTATTTTTGCAGATATTAAACAAAATCATACTAAAGTCTTACTTTAAAAATTACAATTCATTACAATTAGCAAGTGTTATGTATGGTGATGAGAAAGGAAGCCAGGTTCCCATGAGTGTTCCGGGTTCCTCTTATTTTGTTTTGTTTTGTGATGGGATTTCACATAGCCTAGACTGACCCTGAATTCACTAAGTAGCTGAAGATGATCTTCTACTCCTGATCCTTGGGCCTGCACATCCCAACTGTTGGGATCACCATCACGTGCCACCATACTGATGCTGTAAATGAGTTTGATTCATAAGCATAGTCTTAGTTATTTTCCATGGTTGCCAATTTTAAAAATTCCAATGTACTCACACACAGAAACATTGAACACTGGAATACAAACCCTAAGTAAGTGACAAAATCAAGTATTCTAAGGGAAGGAAACATTGCTCCCATTGTTTCTGAGAGTTGACATGCACGTTCCCATTCTCTCACCTTCAGTGCCTGTCAGTCCCCTGGGAAGTAGTGATGCATGTGAATCAGACACCACACACGGGCACTGAGTGATGAGCCATTCCAACTCATCAGTCACAGCACCAGTACCTACCTACATAGAGGACTCCCTCTTTTGTCTTTCCTGCTGCTTCTGCCACACCCTGCTTGGTTTTTTCAGCAGCAGCCACAACTCCTTCCTTGGCCTTGGAAAGTCCTTTCATGAACACATCCATGGTGAAAGATGTCCTTTCCTCCACACTAAAGAATACACAATACACTCTGAATTAAAAATCTGAGTAAAAGAAAACAAGATTAAAGCAGCTAGAATAGGAAGAATTAAAAAGAAAATCTAACAAGAATTCACTGAAAAAAAAATCAGTAAAGGGCCCCCATCTCGGGTTTTTTGTTTGTTTATTTGTTTAAATTTTTTGAGGAGTGGGCATAATGTTGCATGTCAGCTTTTTCGCTCAAATCTAGGAAAAGCCAAGCCACTTAAGAATGGATTGGATCTAGACCAATCACCTGGCAGTTCTAATAGCAGTTAAAAAAAATGGAGCTATATGGCAAGATGGGTGCCATCTACCCCATCAAGTTCTCAGGGCCCAAAGGTGATATTCTTAGTAAAAAGCCTAACTGGAAAACTAATGGGGGGGGGGCTGGAGTAAAAAGCACCCAGAGAGGGGTTAGTAAGTGGTTAGTCCTAGGGTAGGGGAGGAAGGGGCCCTGCTTACTTCAAGATGAAGGGAACAACATACCAACTGCCTGCAGCCCAGCTGTTCAAATCTAACAAGTCCTTCCACCCACAGCTATCTCTAGCCTGCTATCTGCCCAGAGCAGACACGGTCCATACACTTGAGCAGGCTCACTTCAGTGCTACTCTCAACCTAGGGGCACTGTCCTCAACTGGAATCTGCTAGAAAACCATGCCCCCCTCCACCCCAGTGCTCATTAACCCCTTATCACCTGTTGCCAAGTCTCCTGGGCACCTCTATTAATCACTTGCCAAATGCAGCCTCCTTACTTTGCAAATAAGAGCTGGAACGTGCCCGGGGTCGGGGATGAAAGTTGAATGCTCACATTTCCCCCAAGGCCCAGCACTCAGCTACCAGGACCCAGCACCCAACCAGAAACACCCTAGCGTTTCTGCTCGAAAAAGCAGATGCCACAGGCAGCCTGGCTTTTCCCTCGGGCTTTGGGAGGATGGAAGAGCACGTCTCCCCCGGGAGGAAAGCCAAGTAATGTACTTTCTACGAGCTGGCCGCTTCCCCACCGCCAAGGTAGCCTCAGTCGATATCCTCCAGGCGTCGGGACTCGTCTCAGCCAGGGCTCTCCCACATCCCCAGAGCTGCTGCTGTCTACAGGTACTTACCGGTGTCCTTGGCTTCGCAGAATTCAGATTCCTCCTTTTTCCCCCTGTTCTTATTTCAGTGGCAGTGGAAAGGAAGGCTCTGGGCAGAGAGGGGCAGGGGCAGCACCTGCTGGTCTCCTGCCGTCTGCTGCTCGGCGCTCTGGCTCCCGGCTCCTCCACGTCGCCCCCGCAGCTGATTTGTCAGCGCCTCTCCCCGCCCATCGCCTGCCTCGTGCCTTCGCCCCTTTCCTGGGGAGGGATGGGAAGGAGATGCGTGAGGGCTGAGGGTACCAGGAGCACGATCCCCAGGAGGAGGGAAGACGGGGTGGCCTGAGAGTCACCTCGAGCTCAGGGACCCCGGGCTCTATAGAGGTTGAACTTGGGCTGATGTCTTTCCTGCCCATCCCCCACCCCACCCCTGCCTCCGCCTGTTCCAGGTTCCTCTGGGCGACCCCTCCTCCGGGACCAGCTGGGACGCTGACTGGAGCGCCTGACACCGCCTGTGTGCAGAGCGAGACCCTGGGGAGGGAGTACACACCCTTTGGTTTGCTTTTGTTCATACAGTCTGATATTTCCGTTTGCCTTAAGCCTGCAGAAGCCTAAAAAGGTTGTGAATGTAAAGAGGAGCCGACTAAGGAAGAGTTACAGGTCGAAAAGGCAAGGGAGTCTCAGCAAATCCTCTTTCCCACTCCACTATCACCATTTTCTTTTCCACCAATCAGCAGCTGCCAGGCGCTGGGTTTTTTTTTTTTTTCTTCCCATCTGTGGAGCAAGGAATAAATATCCCCCAACCGTCGAAAACCAGCTGTCTCGAGTTGTTCTCGCTCTTGAAATGTGGCTTTCAGACTGGGGCGTACAGACTGGGGAGGCAATGCCTGTGGGATTCACCCTCCGGGACCATCGGGCAGTTTCTTCCTCCACCCCCACTAAAAGACAGATTTTGCACACCTCTTACCTTTCCGCTCCTGACTGCCTGGAGTTCCAGTTGACAAACCTTTCTCCCAGCACCAGCACACACGTAGAACCACACAGGCTTCGAGACAATTTTTGTGTTGCTTAACACATCTCTACTTCTTTCTGAGCTGAACAGAATACCGCTGTTCCTATAGCGGACTAGGATGGAGAGCAAAGCTCCTCCCCCAGCTGAATGGCGCTTTCCTTTCTTGTGTTCTGAACTTGTGTTGGGCACTGGAAGCAAATTAAAGCTATTGTTGTAATTAAAAAGGGGGGAAATGTAGGAGGAAAAATGCTTTATCTAATCTTTGCATTCATTTGACTTCTGAATTTTGAATAATAAACAAATAATGAAGTTGAAATCTAAAAAAAGATTTTGAAAGAAGGGGCAAGCAACTAGTTTTGCGAGCTATATGGAGAGGAGGTAGGCAGAATCATATATGCTGAGTAGAAGAATGTGACCAAATTTCATCGCTTAAGCACTTCCATGGATTCTTGGTGTTCCTTTTCAAAATCAACCTTCCCAGACAGTAGTAGCAAATACTGTGTTTACTTAAAGTTAGAGGAAGACTGTGGTGTTCCTGAAGTACAGATGGTCAGATCCAGGGCCCTGGTATTCCCAAGGAAGTAGGTTAGGGCATCTGTCTTCAACAAGCCAGCTAAGGAGATGAATAAAAGTACAAATTGGGGAGGGGCGTTAGTCAATGTGTCTACACTGAGAAGAGGAAAGAAGAGGTCTACTGCCCCAAGTTCCTCTTTGAGGACCTGATGTGAGGTTCGGGTCTAAATAGATGGCAGGGTGTTTGTATAACTGACTAGTCCTGGTCAAAGTGTGGTCCCAGCCATCATCATTGTTCATGCTCCAGTCTTTAGTGCTTGGTGGTCTAGATTGTATGGACTGAAATTTTTTCCTAGTAGACATGCTATCCCTATTTCAGGCACAGAGCTTCAGCCTTTTCCTTCTCAGAAAATTCCTTTTCAATTTCTTGGGGATCTATTGTTCAATAGTCTGAAGCCAGATGAAAGGACCCAAATGTCTCTTTAGGGTAATGTCTTGACAGCTCTGTTTCAATTGAACCTAGGAGCTGGTTCTCCAGTTTTCAGAACTTGACAAAGTTATGGTCTATTGTTCTTCAGTTTTCTTTCATAAAAGTGAAATAAACTGTGATGAAGCCTCTCCTCTGAAATATTGTTATGTACAATATTTAAACATATACACAATGGTGAGAGTAAGATTCCACGTGAATATCAACAGCTTCCACAATTTTTCAAAGCATGATTTTGTGCCATGAGTGTGGTTACTTTGTCACTAACAGTTCTCCTTGTTAACATTTAAGCTTTACACATTTTTCTGTCTGTGAACCCCAGCACACATTCATAGATATGAATACAATTGAAATACCCCCAGTAAGATCAGATAATATTCTATATTGGAATATAGTTTACAGTGAATTGCCCAGATTTTAAGTGTCTTCCAGTTTTGAGAAACAAAATGTGATAGTGTAACTTACACCATTTTGAAGAGAGACTATTTCATCCCATAGAAGTTCCCTTGTACTTTTTTTAGGGAAATGTTCAAAACTAAACAGTACTGGTCAAGGTGTGGTTCCTGCCTTAAGCACTGGCCAGCTTCAGTGTGTCCAGTTACATGGTCTGACTTGTTGTCTGACCTATGTGAAATCTCAGAAGAGAAAAGGAAAATTGTAAAATAAATGTCATCATTTTGAACTAAGCTTATAGTTCTGTTTTATTCTATGCATATCCTTGGAATATAACCTTTGTTTATATCAGTCTGTGTAATGTGTTAGTTCGTCCGTGTTGTTCCATGAATCAGTAGTTTATTGCTTTCTTTTCTTTCTTTTTTTTAAATTACTGCAAATAATGCATTTTCACAGTGAACCATAAAACTCTGTACAACTAGGTAATATATCTCCTAATATGACATATATACAAGTTCACAAGGATCTCATAAAGCCATGGTGCTTTCGGTTAAAAGAGAAATGAGATGATAGACACTTTTGGACTCAATAATAGCTCACCAATGAAGGAATCACCAGGGTGGCTCTGCTTCCTACAATGCGGAGTAACTCCACATCTGTACACAGTGGGGTGTGTCTGGTGAGAGACCAAGACACTGTGCCATTTAATCATGGCCAGGAGATAAATTTAGCTTTGTGTCACTTTTGTAGACAGGAAAACTGGAGCTGCAAAAGTACACTGGACTCAGATCACTTCACTCTGAAGAGTTAGACCTGAGTTATCATAGAGGCTTTTCCAGAGTGCAAAATCCTCTGTCATTGGGAACCACTCTCTGAATTTTCCCAGATCAGGGATGGAAAGGAAAAAAGATAGGGCCCAGCTGTGTTAGAAATAGCCTTGAAATGTGAAAATGACCATGGGAAATCAGGAGAATGGGTTCTCATGAAGATACTGGAACCTTTGCAGTATCTGTATCAGTGTTTTTTGTTTTTTGTTTTTGTTTTTTGTTTTGTTTTGTTTTTTGTTTTTTGGTGTTGGCAGACTTTCTTTCCATTTACACAGACTGCCACACACAGATGCAGGTGCAAGTGCACGCACGTACACACACACACTCAAGAAGACATACTAAAATGGTTAAATTATTTTCACTATTTTGAATCATTATTATAGTTCTGTTTTATTCCGTCCACACCCCAAAATGCTATGAGCACAGCAAGCAGTTGTTTCAACTGCTGATGTTACTGACAATCCACCTGTGGTTTCTTGACTCTGCATTTATAATAGGGCTGAAGCCCTCTAGAAGGAAGGAAGGAAGGAACTGGAAGTTACTGCTGTTTTCTTCTTTTGGTCCACACCCTCAGAGGTAGCAAAGCCTTTCTCTGAAAATAGCTTTAAAACTTAAATTCGGTAGCTAATTGGTTCTGTCGGAAAGAGTAGCTTCATGGGACATTTGGGTGATGTGCACCTGTGTTACAAACTGCTTGGATGTGTCAGCTGCTCTTCCATGAATGAAACCTAATATTTTGCCATGCTAATGGCATTGACTTAACTAAGTTTACTCGGGTAATTATGCTGTAGATTAGTGTTTTATTCAAATATATACTTAACCTGGACTTCCTTTGATTTCCCCAGGAAACAGGTTAATTTTGACATCCACCATGTAGTAAGCATGCGCTGTTACAAAGAGAAAGGGAAATGCCATGGCAAGAAGGATGATGCCCATGGCAAGGTGATTAAAAGGATGGAAAATACTGATTTAATGTGCTTAACTGTGGACAGGAATAGCATGTTCATCATTGAGCCTCTGCTTCTTAGTATCCATCTGTCCATTCCCCATCTTCTATAATTACATGAGACATGTGTTGCTGAGATCTGCAGGCATGTGTCTTAAAAATCTTCTCTGGGAGGTGCAGGAGAAAAGCCCAGTACATGTGCATGGCTTTAGGATGGCATCACATTCGTTTTGAAAGGGTCATGAACTTGAGGCAGAACATTGATATTGTTCCTACTTAAAATATGTACGTATGTATGTATGTATGTATATAAAGGAATCAATGTAGAGGGAATGTAGTACCTGAAGAACATCTTTAGTTTTTTACCCCTTAGCCAATTTATATCATTTCCACAGGTACCAAAAGGTAATGGACAACAATGAAGAATAAATGTCAATTGTGACCACAGGAAAATAGCATGGCATATATGAATAATTCATCAAATATCTTTCTAAACATCACAGCCATGTTATAGTCCTAAGAACATGAAGACATACATGATTTTAAGATCAAGGACTATAAAACTAAACATAAAATGTATTTAGTATTTTAGATTATTAGAAATTAATTGACTTCAGAATCAGAGAAAAAAATCATATCGATGAACCCAAGAAATACACTCAATTCTGGTAAACAGGATGAACTTCTGAGAGTGGGTACCCAAGGTGAGAGATTAACCCATGTGCTGCCACTAGCCAGCAAAAAGCAAAAGCAAGAGCTAGCATCTCACCCTCAGCATGATTCCATCAGCATGGGGTAGATATTTTATTTGTCGTGTGTGATGTCAGCAACTAATAGGAAAGCTCTTGGAAAAGACTCAGCTGAATGTAATCTCAAAATGAGTGCACCTAGCTTAATGTTTAAGACAGTGTATGTCTGTATAAGG